CCTCGCTGACAACTGGTGCGCTCGCTCTCGGATTGCTGCAAATTAATTGTGTTAGCTGAAGCAAAAATTCCCCGTTCAGTTATTTATTACACTCACTTAACACGCTTTCTAACCCTACCTCGTCTCCAGGGAGAAAGACCTTGACGAGGTCCTGCAGACACACACGGTGTTTGTCAACGTTTCCAAAGGCCAGGTGGCAAAGAAGGAAGATCTCATTCAAGCGTTTGGGACAGATGACCAAACAGAAATCTGTAAGGTGGTAGGTGTCACACCCTTGGCTTTGTGAAAGCTTGGAGAGGACAGGGGCAGTTGTTTACTTTGGACAGTTTGATGAAGCGTTAAGAACAGATCTAGTTTCTTACTCCTTCCTTCTTGGTTGGACATGAACTGTGAACACGTTGTGGGTGATGAGGATTCCAGTCAACCTGCGCTTCTTTTTAGGTAGTTTAGTGTTTCTGCGGTGGGTTTTTTGTCTGAAGTCTTCCCAATGTTGTTTGTCCTAGTGATATATGTTACTGATATGATTGTGCTTTTTCTGCGCTTCCTGTCTAACCAAAACATTCAAACAGTTCTTAATTTAAGCAAGTGTCATGTTTAGGCCCAGCCGGTAACTCAGCACCAAGCAGTCGTTCACTCACACCCCTGTTCCCCACTCCGGGCCGGGTGGAGAAGAGAATCAAAAGACTGTAACCCCCACGGGTTGAGATAAGAACAATATAATAACTAAAGTACGATATAATACTATTGCTACTAATTATAATAAGAGAAATAAGAGGTGAGAATATAAAACTAAAAGGGAAAAGAAAAAGAATAGCCAACAATGCTGCACAGCACAATTGCTCAGCATCAGCTGACTGACACCCAGCCTGACCTGAGCAGCAATCGCTCCCTTCCGGGTAACTCCCCCCAGTTTCTATACTGGGCATGACGTGCTGTGGTGTGGAATACCCCTTTGGCCAGTTTGGGTCAGGTGTCCTGTCTCTGCTCCTCCTGGCTTCTTGTGCCCCTCCTCACTGGCAGAGCATGAGAGACTGAAAAGGTCTTGATCAGGGTAAGTGCTACTGAGCAGCAACTAAACCATCGGTGTGTTACCAGTGTTATTCTCAGACTGAAGGCAAAGTACAGCACTGCACTAGATACTAGGAAGGCAGGGAAAAAAAACTGTTACAGCTGAAACCAGGATACCAAGGTACGTGAATTCTCCTTCTTTAGTCAAATCTGTGATCAACTGGTTTCTTTGCTTCTCCTGCACAGATTTTATCAAAAGGAGAGCTGCAGGTATCGGACAAAGAACGACACACGCAGCTGGAGCAGATGTTCAGAGACATCGCGACTATTGTGGCTGACAAATGTGTGAATCCTGACACAAAGAGGCCGTACACAGTAATCCTTATAGAGAGAGCCATGAAGGATATTCACTACTCTGTCAAACCACACAAGAGCACAAAGCAGCAGGTTTGTTTCTGGCAAAATCTGCTTCTGCTCAGAGGTGTTGTCCTCAGGTGTAACTTCTCCATGGTGCTTTTTAAGCAAGTCTGTAAATGCTCTTTTTTCTGAATGTCTTTACAGGCACTGGAAGTGATCAGACAGTTAAAGGAGACCATGCAAATTGAACGTGCTCACATGAGGCTGAGATTTATCCTTCCAGCAAAGGAGGGGAAGAAACTAAAAGAGAAGCTCAAGCCTCTGATTAAAGTTATTGAGAGTGAAGACTTCCATGAACAGCTGGAAATCGTAAGTAATAAGCAGTCTTTGGGTTTTCTGCTTGATTTGACTGCAACTGTATGTTCTACTAGAGGGTGAATTAAAGTATGGAAGTTGCTTAGGTGAACTGTAAGTTTACCAGAGATTGTTAAGCAGAGGTGTAGTTTGTGGTTTTTAGTTTCACACAATCCTAGTGATGTCAGCTTGAAAGTAGCCTTTATTCCCTAGAGATTGCTGCTTCCAGCTGAGGAGGAGTATGGTGTAATCTCTCCTAGCACTGGTTATCGTACAACAGGGATGAGTTTCTCTGCATAAATGGAATGTTACTCATCTTTGATGGGTCAGGCCTATGTTTTGACAGTGGTTAATTAGGTTTATAGAAAAAGGTCCATGTTAAAGCAAAATTTGGTCTTAGGCAAAATCTTTCTGAGAACAGATTAGAATCTAACAATCCCAGCTATCAAAAGACACGTCCAGCATGGGTAGATGGAACTGCAGAACTCGGTGGAAAGGTTCCTTAATTGAAATCACTTACCAACTCTGCAAAGTCCTTCTGAGTAACTAAACAATTTTACTTTATAAAAATTAATGTTTGACCTTGAAAAGAGGCTGATGAAAATCAAATACTGACTGATGAAATGTGAAACATTTCAGGTGTGCCTTATTGACCCAGGCTGCTTCAGAGAGATTGATGAGCTGATCAGGAGCGAGACGAAAGGGAAAGGAACACTGGAAGTGCTAAGTCTGAAAGATGTGGAGGAAGGAGATGAAAAACTGGAATGATAAAAACCATCTTACGAACTGACTGGTGTTGGCCACTCTCTTCTGTTAGGCCTTCATGTTTTTTCCAGTCTCTTGCAGCCAAATATTCTCTGACGCTAATCCTTTGGGATTTTTCCATGCAGTGTGTTTGGGGTTTTTTAAATCATTTTACACTTGCTTGGTTTACAAATGTTTCTGCCTGTAGGAACACAGAGTTGCACTAATGAGGATTGAGTTAAGATGTGATACAGAAGTTACTCTAGCTTTGGTTTACTGACAAGTGCTTGACTGATACAGTGCCAATCATTTTTACTTTAAGTTGTCAGTGTTGAGTGGAACATTGCATCAGTCACCGAGGGGTGGCTTTTGTATGTGAAGAGAGGAACCTTAAGAAGAGAGACCTGCATTGTCTTTAGAAAAAGAGGTGCAGAGTGTGCAAAAACTGATCTCTTGGCAGTGTGAAAACTGACTTAGACTTCCCTGATGGGCTGCTTGAGAATTTAAATACTTTAAAGGACCCTTCTGAAAGACTTCCTTCACAGGATAGAACAGTACTTGCTGACTTAGAAAAAAATATTCTGCAAATAGCTTCTTCACAAAATATATTTAGCTACATTAATAAAAATAAATTATTGTCTATTTATGTATTCTAGATACAGAAAGAAATAATTATTTTCGTTAATAATGCAGGAGATATCTTTGGCCATGGCAATGCTTTTTGGAGGCTGGAGGGGGGAGACTGCACTTATGAGCTGTTCTCAGATGCCTCTTGGCTAGGCAGTAGTGGCCTCTGGCCATTGACAGGCTGTTGTTGGGCTGTAATTCCCCAGCGGGAGCTGTTTGTGTTTCCCCCTTTGCTTTTGGGGGCAGTAGAGAACAATTCTGGCATCTGTCCTTTTCCCTCTGTCTTTCTAAGCTGCTTTCTAATACATGCACAGAATTCCCAGCCAGCTCCTGCAGCACAGTATGTAGTTCTTGACAGCTGTGTTCAGTCTGTCTCAGCTGTGTTAAATAACTGCTTTTAATGGAACTTGTGTGTTTCAAAGGACAGGAGAAGAGAGGATGACAACTGGAGAAGGAGATACTTAAAATACAAAGCACCATGCAAAGTACCTGTACTTGGGGGACTTAAAGCTAAACCATAAATCTTTAGCATTATATGCCTGTTTGCACACTGATGGTAGGCAGCAAGCCAGGAGCTGCAGGCCAGCCAAGGGTTAGATCTCTCTTCCAGGTGAGCGTGTGTTGTGTTCATTGTTTGCTGTTTACTCGGAGCACTTGACTTCCTGACCCATGACAATTGAATAGCCCTGGTTTGTACTCTTGACAGGGCCTTTTCCTTTGCACCATTAACAGGTTGTGGATGCAGGGAGCATTGAAGTCACGTGGAGGAGGAGGGGTTTGACATGTCAGGTGCTGAGGGCATGTGGAACTAGGTTCTTAGTCAGAGGCTTCCTCTTGGAAACTTACTGCGGTTGCAGTCTGTGGGCTGTTGGCTGTGCAAGGTTGATGAAATGTCTGTAGTAACACTTTGGAAGGCCCTGCCACTATC